GGAGAGAGAGGAGCGAGAGAGAGAGGAGAGAGAGAGAGAGAGAGATGTCTTGTGCCTTTCATAAGTACGCTTCAGTAAAACCCTAATGGTTTTTGCAGTTCAAATGTAGTCATATAATTTCAAACAATGTCTCATGTTACGAGTATGCTGGCCTCAATAATATAGGGATATCCCCAACCACCTTGGGGGAGAGATTCGGATCCGAGCCCCCTGTTTTTCTTAAATTACTCATGAACATTGGCAGATCTTGTTCTACGAATCTTCTACCATCCTCATTTACTCGTATGTTAGTTTAACGTGTGTTGGTAAATTGTTATGCAATTTGATCAGAACAAACAATTGAGATATGCCGATGTTACTGGACCAACTAAACGACAATTTTCGTCATAAAACGGTATTGTTGGAAAAATTACCAAAAAACGAAGTTACATCCGAGACTCAAATAAAAGCCCTAAAAGGCGACAAGCATCAGATCTTAAACACCGCAATCGCCGTGTTTCTAAAATTGTTTTATTTGTCCCTCAAATAAGAAAAGATAATAAGTCATAAAATCAAAAACTATCCAAGCCTTTTATAATAACAAAAATATATCTTAACGAGCCACACATATAAGTACATGAGGTTGCCACATCTTAGCACTCTATCGTGGTTTTTGACCGCGAAATGGTAAAAACTATTCCCGGGATATGTAAAGTATGATCATGTCATATAGGTATTCTCGTATGTTTGGACATCGGAACGGCGAGTTTGGGAGTGAAATTAGTATGACAATCGGATCCGGCGTGAAAAATAACCCCAAGTCATGCGTCGCATGCCCTTGTAGCATGAGTTGACTTTCGTGACCTAGCCTGACCTGACATGACCTTGGCCTTGGTTTTTATCATTCTTTAACCAAAATAAGGATGCATAATGGCCACTATCATCAAAATACACGCAAAATAAGTATCAATGCCCTAAAGAGGCACCTCAACTTTTGTCGACTGTTGTCTAAAAGTGGCATTTTATGATCTGACATTGACCCTGACCCATGCTTAGTGTGGCGCTCTGCTCATAGGGTATCTTCACAAAGCCTTCGGGGTCACATAGGCTGAGTTTCGGGCAGAACCTACGGATCCCGCGGTTCATGAGCCTCGTCATACAGGATGCCTAGAATTTGATATTTGACCTGATATGGACCTGAAAGTTGACATCAATCTTGAAATCTTTAAAATGTGTTTGAAAGGCCTCGTGGAGAGCTTTCAAACGCGCTACCTTACGGGGCTCAATAAAACCATTGATTCTCGAGAAATGTGGGGCTCAGTTCCGATTCTCAGCCCCAGTCCCAGGCAGTTTTGGGTAGGTAGGTACGGAATTAGCCCAGACGCTGCCAGGATATCTAACGATACTTTTGTCGCGATTAGGATACACTGTAATAGTTTCTGTCACGTATTAGGTAAGAGTGCAGATATTGCAAAAATGGTTAATATCGTCATGTATTGAAATTGAAAATGAATTTACCGCGTCCTATTGGAGCGATTATTCCAAACTATGCCGTTCGATCCGTTTATTTGGAATAATTCTAATTGAGGTGTCTTTATTTGTGATTTTTTATAATCAAAATTTTGCCAATTCTAAGGTTTGTATACGTCTTTTTATATGCCTCGTTGCTTTGCATTTAACACTGATAGCGATAATATTGCATACTACATATTTGTATATTTCGTACTAGTTATTTCAAATGTAAGTTGTTAGTTCACTCATCCGAGACTAAAATGATGTGAGAATGGTGTTGATGCTGATGAAGCCCTATGTGCAATATCCATGAGATAATTGACAACGACAGGTCTAATCACATTCCATGCCGAAGATTTTCCTTAAAAGCAGTGTCTGTCGAGTTGTTCCATTCATAGTTTTCCGACCAACTCCCTACGTGCGTCCTAAACAACCAGGCGCCCACCCCACCGTTGCAGACCCATGGCCGTGGGAAGCTCCACTGTTTGCTCCCACGGCGCCGCCCGCGCCGCCGCCGCGTCCTCCAATAATGAGCGGTGGTTGCCATGGTTACAGGCGTCAGGCCCCGCCCCCATTGACGCCCGGCGTGCGCAGAGGAGCGCCGGCGATTACGATGGCGGTGCCGCGCCGCCGCCGCCGGCCGCCGAGCGTCGACCGCCAGTCGGCCCGAGCCGTGGGAGCGCAGTGATAGGGGCGGGCGGTGAGCGGCGACCCGGCCGGTCATGAGCTGCGCAGTGATGTACCAGCCCTACTCGGCAGGCCCATACCAGCCGCAGGCACCGGAAGCAGCGTTCGGGAGGGGTGCGTCCCCCGCCGACACGACAGCGGCGACGGCGACGGTCGGCGGGCATGGCAAGGAACAGGTGAGCGCCTCGGTGGTTGAAAGCAGACTAGACGGTAATTGAAAAGGCTTGAGTTGCGAGAAGTTGTAGTAAGTTAGAGAAGCAATGTTCTGAAACATTCTCAAACGGCTTATTAGCTATAACTTGGTGGCCAGGTCTCAATCAAAACAAATATTTGTGTAACATGAACGTCGTTCTCGCTGCCTGGATTCTACTGGTGCCTGGATTCTACTGGTCCACCCCGGCTATTCAATGTGCCCACAAAAGGTATTGAGGTGCACGACGTGCCATCAGTGGTAACATGTCTGAGCGTGGTATGATGTGCGTCATCGACGGATATCTTATAATCTATAGACCAGCTTCCAAGAATGTCACATTTCGGCCTGTAGTCGGCGATGTATTAAAAAACCTGCCGATGGGGCATCTGGTCAAAGTTGCGGTGGTCGCCGCATACCATAGACACATCCGACTTGAGTGACGCCCGGAGAAGCTCGATGACTCTCCGATGACGATCGATGACGCCCAGACACCTCCGATGGCGCTCGGTGGCGCTTGGTGATCGCCGGTGACCGCCGGTGACCGGCGTGGATCACCGGCCCGTCGCAGCGCCCTCCGAGCACATCAAAGGCGCCGACATTGCCGGCAGACGCAATTAAAAAACGGATCCGGGTTATGAATATTGGCAGAGAATCCTCGCCGGAATTTTCGCTAAGCGCCGCCGGGGGCTCGGAGGTATTCGGCTCGCTATCAGTGTGGGTACGAACCGGTTTGGTATCGCGGTAAAATTTGATATACTGCTCCGGGTTCAGGCTATAATTGTTGAATTCCGTAAGAGGTATTTGCAGGGTTCTGCATTAGCATGATTCCTCCGCTGGTCGTGGCACGTGTCCGCTTTCCTATTGTTGAGACACGCCAATCAGCTTATGTTGTAACTTGAATTAGCTACCAGACATTTTAGGAAATTTATTTTAGGTATTTTTACAATTTGAAATATTACTGCGCTGTATTTGGTAGGTATCGCATACACCTCATAAGTCATGTGATAGGATAGTATGGTATAGGCCTTGGCCCGTGGATAAGGCTGATGCTGGCACTGTAATATGTATCGTCCTTCTAGACTGTTCTTATACCAACCCCTTGCCAAGCATGACTAGCCGAAGTGACCGAACACGCCTGAACGGCCGTGGTAGCTGTTCACAGTGCGAGTCGCCTTTGTGTGGTTGCCTTGCTCGCATGCGGCAGGCCTCATGTGAAAGGACATGACAGTCTCGTTAGCGATATCTTTCCCAAATATCGTGCCTATTTTCCTACTAGTTTTTTTTTTCATTTTTGCATGGCAAACGAACATGAGTCAACACATGCAATCATCCTGCGTTCAGCTTGGGTCTTGGGATGTAATGAATAATATGATAGCAGCACTAATAATAAATATAGGGTAAAAGTAACTTCAAACAAAGCAATTGACATTTAAGATTCGCATATTTAGATATTCATGACATCTCTAAAAGTTATACCAGATGACTTACTTATTTAAGAAACTGGAAAATGATATATTGGATTTGGCGACTTGAGCTAATACAAAGGTACAGCTTTATGATATGTTTTGATGGCGGATCTTATGTTTGCATACAATATGCTTGTTTGTCATGATGCATATATCCCTCGGCAGGCCGGGAATTGATGCGACTCCTCCCCCCCCATGCTATTTTTGGATAGCGTAAAAACGGCGGTGCGTTGGGCCGCCGAATTTAGCATTAACTATGGGATATTTTGGCGCATTTCCCGAGAATTTCAAGTCCCTGTCCCAGTCACTTCAGGTCAATTCACTTTAGGTCACTCACCAAAACGGTACAGGGCCAAGGAAGACTTTGAATAACTTAACGTTATCAGAATAAAACAGTTCCTTTTTCGGAGAATAGCATAAACACAGTTGCATGTAGCGTCACTAAATTTCGGACACTTTGGGTCAGCTGTTTGACACATGTAGTGATAATTTTGAGCCTACGTGATCTCCGCTCAGGTCAACAGGTCATGAAACCTGTACATCCCTAAAATAACACTGAAATAACACTTATTTTGTATGCGAGTTTTGCATCGATTTAATGCAACCTTGTATGATACGATAAGCTCACCGAGTGGCAATAACATGTATCCCGTTTTTTGTGTGCTTTACCTGAGGTCATCTAGATGTCATGACGAATTATAAGGGAAATTTTTTGAATGGCTCTAATTGTGAAAATGTTGAAGATATCTGCTCCATTTTAATGTTTTTGTAATGTACTTCCTCAGGTTATATCAAAAGCTGACTAGGCAAGTGTTCGTCTACTGCAAGAACGCTATGGTCCGGTCAACTGAGGTCGACTGAGGCCAAACTACGCTTTTGCTAATAACTTGGCACAAAGCTAAGTTGCAGCTTCATAAATGGTGTCATTGTGTTCTCGATCCACTGAGTCAAATGATGTGCGATTTGATAGTTTCAAAATAAAATGAATAGCAGATCATCGTAAAATAGAAACAAAACATTGTCTAATATCACTCATACTATCTATAATGTCAAAACTTTCAGAGAAATAACCCGAAACTCATGAACGTTTAGGATTATTGACCACGAATTACGTTTATTTGACCAATTTGAAGTAAATTAGCTTCAAAAGGCATATTTGGAACGATCAACTGTCGTTCGGAGAAAAAATCACGACAAAACCAAATAAACAGCAGGTTTGAGTCGTTTACAAAGGAGAAGCTCTCTTGAGGACAACGCTCTCAGCAAATAATTTGGCATGGCCATGGGAAACGATGAACATTTGGGAGATGAAAAAGCTGCGCGCGAAGCGACTCAGAAACGGACGGCCGACACATTTTGCGTCGTGATACCAAAATGTACACTTGGCGCTTTCCGTTTGTCCAGGAATGGGGTTGTTTTGAAAAGGAAAATGGTGCTTGGGATATCGGCGCCAGTCTAAAAAGATACTTGGGAATGGTGCCAAGGCAAGCTGTCGGCTTTCAGGGAGAAGCAGATGTTGCCGGGGAGCATGTCCAACCTAAAACCGATTTAAAAACTGCCGGGGACTCCCCTGCAGGAGCTTGAAAACAAGGAACCTTTTTGGAAAAAGCTTGAAACCAAGGAGCGACTGAAATTGGCATGGGCAAATATTTTTGGGTACGGAGAAGGATTTGTTTTTTACTTTCCGACAAGGTCGTCAAAGCACGTGTTTTTTTGTAGTGTACGTGTAGGTACGCATAAGCAGCAAAGCTAAGATTTTTCCTTCTTCTAATATGCCTTATTGCTACGGGAAATGTGTCACCAAACTTATGGGACACCCTGTAAGCAAATATCTGTATTTTATGAATTCATTTCAGTGTTTTCATCGATGATACTCTCTGACACTATGACAAAGCATGCATATAAGCAATTAGTGCAACCCTAGCTGATAGCTAGTAAGAGACACATTGAACCTGATTTGACCAAATCTGCACCTAATCTGCACCAAATGTGCACCAAATGTGTACCAGATGGCCGTCGTAAAAACGGCTAATATCATTAGTCAACTATAGCCGTTTTAACTGCGTCTATTTGGTACACATTTGGTTCACATTCGGAGCAAATTTGTTGCAGATCTGCTCAAATTAGGTCCAATGTGTTTCTTAGAAGTTATCATGGTAGTCTTTGTATGACACTGTGGCCAAACAGCCAATGTTTTATTGGATGCCACAAAGAACCGCAATAAATAAATAAATAAAAATCAGTTTGAGTTGCACACTTGCTTATATGCTTCATCTTTCACATTATTAAACATTATTGTCGATTAAAACGCTAAAATGAATTGATGATATGACGGTATTTGTTGAAAGAGATTTGGTGCAGATTTGGTCAAGTTTGATGCATTCGCCACTCGCCAGATAACCCGTCGTGAAAACGGCTGATTTGACTTATATCAACCCTCAAGAGCGCAGGAGCTACGTATGCCTACCTATTGAATGTCCATGATCTGGTTTACGTGGTTGAACTCATGTTTTACGCAGCAGTGATAGAAAAGGTATACTAAATAAAGAAAATATTATTTGGCATGCGAGCACCCCGCTGAACCCGGAACATCTACAGAATACAGATCAAAACAAAAGCACCAATTTGGCGGTCTTCTGCGTGCTCCCGTGATAATACAATGCACCAATTATTCTGCGGTATTTCAGAAATCGGATAAACAGCAGGACACGGCCACATTCTGAGGTGATTTAACATCCTGGCGAATGTGACCCGAGGGAAAGCGGCTTTCGCAAAGTGACAATGTATGTACACCTATCAGCAAACTATGCAAGGCTGGAGTGCCCAGATTTACGGTCTTGTAATGATACGGATTTCTGGCAGCGCAATGTTGTGATCCACCGCGTATGATCCCGGCTGCTTAAACCGGGTGGTACTCACCTTTTGACATATTTACATTAAATCGCGCCTCGCGGCTCCTATTTTAATGAAGACCATCGCCACGAGTTGTAATTCGCGCTCCATTACTTACAAAACAAATAACCAATAAGCATAATTGCTGCGCTTAATGCACAAGTACTGGATCTTGTCATCTTCATTTATTTAGGCAGCAAAAAGTTAAAAGTGTAGGCATCAGAAAGACATTTTTCTTATAAGGCCGATAGCTTTGATGTCATGATACGTTGCTGCCTTCTGCTCCATTGCGAACCTTACGAACCATACTTAGGCCCACGCCTCCTATGTAAATTGTAAACTGCCGAGCCCGCGCTGTCTGCCACCTCAGGTCCCACTCCGTCCACCCGCCGCCCACCCGTCGTCCGTCGTCTAACCGTCCCGCGAACGGGTTCGGGGCCCGACGGGCGGCGCGGCGGGCGCCCGGCAGCCGGAGAGAATGTTATCAGCCCAGATCGCCGCAGATCAAACACGGAAACTGCCAGACGAATTCTTACGCAAAGTGATGACAAATTAGCCGGACTGCGACGGCGGCAGACGGCGGGGGGTGGCCGCCGCGCCTGGTGAGGCGGTAGTGGCGGCCGCCGAGATGGTCCCGTCCTGATACGCGGGCGGTGCCAGACGACTGTTTGCGCCCGTCACATTCCAAGCGGTCGCGGCCCTCGCCAGATAGCGAACGGCCGCGCACGGGTGGCAACGGGAGATGGAGGACCGCCCGCGCCGTGGTCCGCTTCCGGTCCGATGGAGCAGCTCCGTGGACCGGTCGCGGTGGTCCGTTTAGACTGGTCTACGATCGTTTTCACGATGACACATTTGGTCACATTTGGTGCGATTTGGTCAAATTAAGCTCACAGTTAGTTTTCCAGCGTAGCACTGCTTGCTCCTATATAGTCTATACCTGATTCATCAAATTATCAGAAAATATTTTCGATCAAAACATTGAAATGAGTTCATGGTATGAAATTTTTTGTTAATAGTTTGATGCATTCACCAAATAATTGGTGATATAATAAAATATAAGAAAATAAAATAAATAATTGTCTGTCCCGTAGCTCAGTTGGTAGAGCGCTGGACTCCCCGCAGTGAGAGCCCGGGTTCGAGGCGCTCCGGCGCTCGATATTTGAGACTCCTGACGGGGGTGGTCTGCGGTTGGTGGGAGCAGCCGCAGCCAGTTGAAGTCAGTTGAGTGGGACAGGCCGTGTCCGGCTTTGAAGGGCACGTTAAACTTTGGCATCTAAATTCTCCTGTTACCTGGAATTGCGCGATCGGACGGTAGGGGTCGGGTTCTACGCAACAAGCTCTGCTAAGCATAGGCTCCGGCCCTGTCAATTCATCCATTCAAATATTCGAGCTGAATTTATTTAAAAAAAAAATAATCCGTCATGAAAATGGCCATTATCGTTTACAGGTTCAAGCTGGTGCGAGTGCCTTGCGCGGTCCGTGCGCCCGGGTTGAGGTTTGTTCGTCATCATTGTTTTGCTTACTTGTACTCATATATTTTTTCCTTGTCATAATTTGATGTGTTATCCGACTTGTTCAATTATTTTTGTTATTGGTAGGTAATCACTAATTGATTAATTTATTTATAGGCTTGTTGATAAGCTGTCTAATCTAGACAAATGAACTAGGAAAGCGAATGGTGCAGTGTAGAGGATTGTAGGCTGTGACCGCAATCCGCTAGTTCATGCATGACTGTAGAGCACAGTGCATGCATAGCTGGCTCGTTATACGGCGAACGCCATTGGCTATAATGCAGCTGAGTACACCAATTTGCGGTTCATATCAAATTTGTATAGTGTCTACAACGTCACATGCCTATGTAATAGCCACATTGTTTCAAGGTTTTGAATCTTCGTGTCAATTGTATTGATCCCACTGTAAGATCCATTGTTTGTAATTTAGTCCGTGTACTGTTTTGTTCAGGACACTAGCCTTGTCCCTCAGCACACAATAGGAGAGATAATGAATGACTAATGATCCGTGAAGGGCAAATCATATATGTTCATGTATTCCTGAGCTTTGAGTGATGACATACATACTAATGAGACCCGCTTTAAGCCGGTACTCCAAGAAAATCACACGAAGCCGTAAATAAGGGAACTCCAGGCTGCGGGATATGCTATGCCCATAGGTATTTTTAGCATTACGTATACCTGATTACGACGTCAGGCATGTTTCTTTTTTCAATAGGTCATTAGAAGACCACGATTTTGTTTTGTCGAAGGAACATGTCACCGGAACCTGAGTTCGCTACAAAGCAATTATCAAGTTTGTTATTACTCGCTGCAATTTCCTGAATAAATTTGCAATTTGCAGCATTTACTGTCAAAATTATTTGTGATATTTCTCTATCGTCTGCTATATCAACTGTGCATACCAAAATACCAATTTCTCATGACTCTTCGTCATTACAACTTATTACTCCGCTCGCTTCGCTCGCTCCGTAATAAGTTGCATGGCGCAGGGTACAGTTGCACAAACCTATCTTTTCCTAACTGAAGCGCCATGATTACCATACACCATTGAAGTATTCTCCCAGTTACAGACCTTACCTCGGTCACTCCTGCGCCCCGGACCCCCCAGCCGGCTCCTTAGAGTGCTGTTTCGGCCCCCGCGGTGGACAGTTTGTTTAGCGGTGGCGACAGAAGGGAGCCCTGCGCGACACTCGCGAGCCCTGCGGGAGGCCACCCTGCCGAGAGTGAGGACGCTCGGAGAGGGAAGAGGGCCCGGCGCGGGACAGCGGAGAGGGTCCGTCCCGGGACAGGAGAGAGGGTCCGTCCCGGGACAGGGGACAGGGGACGGCAGACAGGGCGGTACCGACACCAGACGGCCGGGCGGCGCGACGCTCCACTGAACCGGAGCCGTGCCGCCGCTGGTCAGATCAAGTGGCAGACAGACACACGCTGGGCCACCCCCGTAGATTTGTGGGCCACCAGGCCAAGGCCGACAGATGGTGGCTACCGTGCAGCTGGGTGAAGGGAAGGAATCGGGACACGCCAGTTAATGCAAGGTAGAGCCTCTCTGATGAGTGGTCATTAGCATATCATTAATTAGCAGTGCTGAAAATTGGGGTTTGCACTTCTCTTTTCGACGACCATCTTTTCCATCATGATATTAAGGGGCACAATAAATCATGGTGTTTAGTAAATTAAATGATTAATGTTGTTGTATCTTGCCTTTCACATAAATCATCCTTCTCAAAAGCTTCTTAGCTCCTTCGATGGATAGTAACAAAATCCTACCTCCCACCTGCACCGGTTATCAAACTTATTGACATTTTAACATGACAAATAACTAACTTTTCTCTTATTTCAGAAGTACAAAGTATGTGGCAGTCCGTCGGCGCCATCGTTGGCCGGCCACCAGACTCCCCCGGGCCAGTCGGAGGAGGACGCGCCACCCGGCGGCCAGCACAACGTCAAGTTCCTCACCTCCAACTGTGTGCTGGTCACCAACTACTGCGGCGACGCGGCGCACGTGGTGGACGAACACTTTGCCAGGGCGCTCAGTCACGGAGCAGGCTTCGAGACCAAGCACGGAATGGCCTCGGGCAAAGGTGAGATGCCGGAACGGTCATCAAGGGGTGGTGGTTGAGGGAAAGGCGAGCAGTGAAAGACATCGTAGACGAGATAAGATAGAATCGTTTGACCAATGTAAGAGAAAGAGAGACCGGGGAGATCCAATGATGACCTACCTTTTTCAAAGTGGCATATCGGGGAAAATGCAGACCATAGGTATTAATTACAAACGTGCAAAAGACTGAACTTTGGGCGTTCATCGTTAATCATGTGTGTCGTAGCAGGCCTGAGGAGGACATAGGACATACCACGTGGCTCGTCAGGCCTGATGAAGACAAACCACGTGACCTGTCAGGTGCGAGCCAGATTAAGACAGGTCACGGAGGGCGAATGGAGACGGGTCACGAAACCTCACGGACAGGTCACGAAACCCCACGCACAGGTCACGCCCATGAGCGGACCGATGGCTGTATTTTCGAAACGATCGTACAACCAGATGTTGCAAGCCGACGGGCTGAAAGGATGACCAGGTGGTCACGAAATTGTGCTTTATTATCACCACCGGTAAGGTGCAGGATAATTTTGTAAAGTAGCTATAGGTATGCTTTGGTCAGATTAGTGGCTCGGCATCCAGCAAACATGATAAGCTTAGCAGCATTCCTGTTGCTGTTTTGATTCGAATGTTTTAGTTTCACCTTTTCCTCTCCTACACCATCGGCTGATTTTAAACTTCAGTCCAGGCATGGCTATCAATGAAGTTTTTAGCGCTGTTGAATGGGCATCATGATCAAAAATGAAGTATAAAATGCAAACCGAGGTGAATTACCCAACAATCAAGATCCATCTAAACAAATTATTCTTTCACTTATTTCTCAGTTCGGTATGGCATGCCTCGCCAGGATTTCTTGCATATTGAGTTCCTGTCACTGTCTATAGTGGATATCGTCAATTCCCAAATCAGGACATCATTACCATGTAAATACCTTATTTGAGTCAATCATTGGCCACTGCGTTGTAGCTTGGCAGACAGATAGTATGTACCTGCTGGCTCCTTGGCGGCACCCCGTTTGAAGTTAACGTGCAATGTGCATGTTGTCGCTGCAATGCTCATTTTGGTGGTGACGTAGCGCAGCTGATAGAGCATCAAGCTCCTGGATATTGGGCAGCCATTTCTAAAACGCGTTTTGCCGCTCAAATTTACTGCATGCAATTTTTTTAGGGTATTCCGGAGCAGAAATTGTTATGAGGCTATGGTAACCCTGAAGTGCTAAGCTTCAACGATATAGGCCATTGCATTGCGACATGCTCAAAGCAGATTGATTTGCCACTACCACAAACAGTTTTATATGATGGATTTCAACGGATACGACCGCTTTTATCATTCACCCGCATACTTGTCGACGAAGTTGAGCCTCATCACTATGCACCCGTCTCCCGGCATATGACATCCGGTCTTTTGAGCCCAATTATATACAATGCACAGCCTTTTAAATTTTCCGCTGGATGAAAGCCTGCGCCGCCTCGCTCATCGCGCTGCCTAACTGATGGATCATTTCGGTGGCGGTGATGGCTCGCTTGTAGCTCTGTTGGCCAGGATTCACTCGTTGTTATGATTTAGCGGGGTGAGATGTCACTCGTAATAGTCACATTGGTCCTCACTGTATGGTGGAGTCATCCGTCAGGGCTTGTAATTAGGTGAGACATCGCTCAGGGCATCTGTTCTTGCCTGGCGCCAGACTGGTGCAGCCCCGGCTGCTGGCGAGCCGCTGCTTCTGCTTCCAGCACGCTCGCTCCTTGCGCCCGCAGCCACGGCTGCTGCCATGCTGCCAGGCATCGGTAAAATCCTTTTTGAAAGGATTGCATTCCCAATCCACATTCCTAGTGCCGAAGTGGATTGCATTCCTACCCGCAATCCCCTTTTTCACTTGGATTGTGATCAAATCCGCAATCCTTTTTTGCAATCCTGTTGTATTATTATGTGCACTAGTGAATCTGGGGGAGGGAGGGGGGCATAGGGCCGTGCCTCCATCCCCAAATCACCCATTTCTAGTACTTAGTCTTGCGAGTAATTCCTATCTAAGGCACAGGTATTTTATGGAAAATATTTTTTGCCTCAAGCACCCCCACATTTAAACATCTACCCAACGGTGTTTTGTATTTTCAAAACTCGCCCTCAAATACGTAATTTTGCCCTTCCTATGTAGTTCATCAGCGTATATTATTTTGAGCGTTTAAATTAAAAGCGTTTGAATTATTTCAAGTTTCGATGTAAAGCCCTTGATAGCAAAGTACATTAAGCCGATGAAGCCGATCTCATAATTTTCAATCGCAACAAACCATTTCAAAGCACTAATCAAACACAATCCGGATTGGATTGCGAAAATTGGAAGTATGATGCAATTCAATCCGCAATCAAATCCTGTTTTTTGGAATGGATTTCAAATCCAGGTGCAATCCACCAAAAAGGAATGCAATCAGGATTTTGCAAATCCTGCAATCACAATCCTACCGATGCCTGCATGCTGCTGCCACTTTCCTTTGATTCCACGATGCAGTTGCTGCCGCTGCCGCTGCTGTTGCCCAAAATGAAGCCTGAGCTGATGTCATATCTGCACCTCCTTCGTCATCTGCGTTCTTTTTGACGACGTGAAGTGCCGCTTTCGAGCGACGGTCCGGTTGTCAGTTCACACGATGGGATAGAGCGGACATTTGTTAGATACTAGCCGTTTTCACGATGGGCTATCTGGTCAGTGCACCTGATTTGACTAAAGCTGCACCTAATCTCTTTTACAGCAAATATCTTTATTTTATGGATTTATTTCAGTGTTTTGATCGATGATACTCTCATGACAAAGCAGGCATATAAGCAAATAGTGCAACCCTAGCTGATAGCTACTAAGAGACACACTGAACCTGATTTGACCAAATCTGCACCTGATCTGCACCAGATGCGCACCAAATGTGTACCAGATGGCCGTCGACGGCTACTATAAAGTGTCAGGGATGAACGTCGCTTTATCGAACCGCGGTGAAATTTGTTCGAGCAGTTCTTCTTTGCATCCGCATCCAACAGCAGAATGATTAGCGTTAGTAATCAACACCTGGATTCCTCGCACCATACGAGGGATGGAGTCTGCAACGTAAGACGAGACTGCATCGAAGCATCTGAGGAAAAAAAAACATAAGTTGTATGTCATGTGAGCTGGACTGCGTTGCACGTTTATTTTCAGTGCATCACCCCCAAAAAATGACTGCCTTTCCGCATTTCCATTGTAACACTGATTTTAACCATCCTTGCAACTTCCGGTTGACCCAAACGCGACCCTGCCACTCCACTCCTCACCCCGCCTGTTTTCAGCGTGACAGTCTGTCCAATATTCGTGCCTGTTTGGACTGGAGCCCGACAATGTTTTCCAGCCTGCAACTCAGTGGGACAACCGTTTCCCTGTTTTTACAGCGGGGACGTTTGTCAAGCGGAAAGGTGTGAACCTGACAGAGGTGCCGCGGAAGGGAGTAAATTTAGCCAGCTCGTGCCTGGAGACATTCGGCGTGACAGTGCGGAGCAACAAGCCGCTGAGTGAAGCAAAGCCACGGTGACAGGAAGCGAGCAGCCACTGAACAGCGTGGCGAAAGAAGTGTAAACAAAGATGCTTGGAAACTCGTTGAGAAGCTAGCGTGTCGTTGGCTGTCGTCGGCAATTACTGAACGAGTCAGCAGCCATGTTATGACGTTTGAAAGGCGCGGCGGTAGCGAGAATTACGGGTGCCGTCGCGTGTCTGTACGTCGACAATTCATTATACTCGGGAGCAGGTTTGATCGGGCCGAGTCTGACACGAGCTCATGCAGTTCACTTCCACTGGTGGCAGCGGCTTGTCAGAACGATTAACAACTTTATCCATCGCAAATCCAGCGCAATTATCGATACAACCTTGGCACGAGCTACAGGGCCGGCTCAACCACCGAATCCCGAGAAAGATAACCATCGTCCTCATGAGCCTGGAACAATGCCCACGCGGCACGCTGGTGACACAGCCCTATCTGATTTCCGCGCTTCAGGAAGTGGTGACGTCACCAATCGCAGTCTGACCGATCGGTCGTGGCAGCGAGTCCACTGAAGTTGCCGACAGCCGGTCGGTCGACCCGCCGGGCGGCCAGGGGCCAGGGCGACCGGCGAGCGACCGATATTCAGGTCACAGCCGTGGGAACGTTCCATAAAGAATGGTGTCGTTAACAATACGGCCGGTCTGATCCGTCAACCGACGCATGACATGCGATGACGACATCAGAACGGATCAAGGCGATGACGGGCCTCGAGCATGGGAATCAGCTATTGATACCGAGATGGACGGAGCTGGGGTGCTTCGTAACACTGAAGACCTTTGCCGTGATCGTTAATTGTGCTTTTCACTATTCGCAATGGACATTAAACGAGTTCTTACATGAAATGTGGTATCCAAAACTACGTGTTCATACAGTAACGTCCCACGACTGTGACCTGTTAGTGTTGGGTGTCATTGCATTTCATTTGATGACATAAGTTTAATAATGTTTTCTTTCTTTTCGCAAATGCTCGTAACTAACTAGGTAAGATGATGACCCATTTGCCATTCTTAGGTACCCCTTTATGACTAACAATATTGATTACAATAATTCAAGGTCTCAGGCCAACTTCCTTGATATTCACCGTTACATAACAAGAACGACCCACAACCACTGCTGAAATGCTTAGCAATAAGCCCATTCGCAGTTTGTTTATCATCTGTACAAATACTTGACCTTTTCTCGCACCTTCACCACCCGCTCCCACTCCTCCCGAGCCTTCAGTGGCAGATTTGCGGTAATGCCGGCACGCTAATTGCCCCCGTCGTGCGCCATTGACTTCGTCGCCGTCGAAACTACGCCGAGCATTTTGAGAATTGTCACTGGCTGACAAAAACTGGTAGCGGTAACAGCCGTCGCCCATGTGTGCTATGCGCTGCCCGGCGCGTCGTGGCATAGTTGTAATAATTGACGGTCAGCGGCAGTCGACAGGCAACTT